GAAGTCAAACACGCGATAACCCTTGACATTCCTCGCATAGGCGAGAGAGATACATTTGAACTCGTCTTCGAACTTTGTTCTCCTGCATCGTAAACAGCAGCGTACATCTGCGACCCGAACACGCGTAAGTGATCCATTATTCAAGGTATCATCTTGAAAGCCAACTCATATGGCGTGAAGTCGGGTCGGGTTGTATTCGATGAGCGATTAATTAAATAGTGCTGTGTTTACGTCTTCCACCCGCCATTCTATTAAACTCATTAGTGATTCAGTATAAAGTACAATGGACTTTTCACAGCCATTAATCGAAGGTTCATAGATGTACCTTCTGTTTGCATTTTGGGAATAAATAACATAGTATGGTGCTCCCAAATGCATACGTGACACCTTATATGAAATCACAAACATTTTTTGTGTTCCAGGATGCTAGTTCTAACTTAAGGAACTGTACTGGTGACGAGACCGACGTTCTCTGTCTATCAAAATAGGCGGCATAAGCATCCCACGAAAGTGGAAAGCTGAGCTTTTCGAAGTCAAGCTCCATATAGCCACGATATTCCAAAAGTTGAAGCTGAGGATCAACCTCAGTACACATTGGAGTTAAAATTTAGCAATCCAAGGTTTAACTAGTGACATCTCTGAGAGCCCATGGGATATTTTGCATGTAGCTAGTAACCAAATCTCGATTTTTCAGCTGCCAATTTACCTCTAAGTTAAGTCGTGCATCTTTTCTCACGTCAGGACTGTCCTTCTCCCTGCACGTCGGAAATCACTCCTAGTTGCACAAGTGCGTGTGTTGTGTTTGAGAGACCAGCGCCCTCCTACAGAAATGTGCTAGCGGTGAAGTTTAACTTCATGCGCATTGAGGGCTTTTTTGAGCGCGCGCTTGTGACTAAGGTGTGAAAATAAGACGTGTAAGCTTTAGTATGGTCTTGAGAGGTTATCAAGGGTTGCGTATCGTATTATGACGAACGTACACTTTACATTTTTGTAGAAAACTCAAAAGTGCGAAAGTACTGGTTATGATGATGGCGATGCTACTTCGTGAAGAATAGAGTAAGGTCTGATTTCTGTATGCATGCTACCCTTGAATTCAAAAGCGCAAACGAATTCTTAATTTCTTTTCTCCTCTCATGAGTGGAGCTTCCAGCCCCTTCTTCTCTGCGTTAGTAAGCGCGAGTCAAAGCTTCCTCTGTGTACAAGATTCACAGTAACCCGATGCAGCACTTCTGTTGGAAATCCATTCTTTAATCTATACGCCTTTGGGTGTGAAGTAGATCTTCCATGAAATGGGTAAGTGCTTGCGCTTACCTCTAGATAGGAGAGCAGGTGTGGTACGACCACCATTTATGTCCGTATCAAGTTCGCAACCAATTTTATCTGCGGCGCAAGTAGGCAATAGCCTTTAGTTGACTCAGCATCATTCGATACAGTTCCTTAATGTGAGATGGCAAAAAAGACGAGATTTACTCTTCTTGTAGCTCAGTACAGAGCATATCCTCAGTATGAGAAATATAGAAATCTAAGTTTATTTTGTATTATATCCAATTTTGATCGTCTATTTTTCTTTAACATCTGAGATCTAAGATGCGCGAGGTATTCGAGGCGTTTTTAACTGATCCGATCTGTGTCAACGAAGACGTTTTCGCTTTATGGCTTGAAGGCCATAACACGAGTGAAGCATTAATTGCACGACTTCAGCTCCCTTCGCCCGTGTCTATGCCTTTTTTAGGTGGAGACGCAGCCGCCAAACTGCGAGAACTTCTATGGCGTGATACAGTGGACCAATATCGCCTTTACGATAAACTAGAACACTATCTCTCCCAGCCAAGTCTTTTCCGCTCCCAGCTTCTGTTCCAAATTCCGCCATTACAGCAACAATATATGGTAGAATGCTATTATACACGTGATACAGACGTTGACCGGTGGCTATTGGGGAAAAAATTCTCTATGCGTCTGGAAAAAGATCTAGACGGCGTTGCGGAGCATTCAGGTCGTACACTTAAAAGTTGTCGACGACAATTAGAGAATTTACGACGTGTATACGCTGCTATAGAAGATCGCAACTTTACTGGCCTTCCATGTCGTATCATAAGTGAGCTCTTTGTTCTCTCCGAGTCACTAGCCTGTAAATATGCCTGTCTACTTTTTCT